CAACAGTACACACCGGGCGTTGGTGGCGCACGCCTTTAATCCCAGCACTCGGGAGGCAGAGCCAGGCGGATCTCTGTGAGTTCGAGGCCAGCCTGGGCTACCAAGTGAGCTCCAGGAAAAGGCGCAAAGCTACACAGAGAAACCCTGTCTCGAAAAACCAAAAAAAAAAAAAAAAAAACAACAGTACAGTGCCAGAGTGGGACCACTCACCAGAGTACCTGCTAATCAAAAAAGGAGGAAATTGGCCGGGCGGTGGTGGCGCACGCCTTTAATCCCAGCACTCCGGAGGCAGAGCCAGTCGGATCTCTGTGAGTTCGAGGCCAGCCTGGACAACCAAGTGAGTCCCAGGAAAGGCACAAAGCTACACAGAGAAACCCTGTCTCGAAAAACAAAACAAAAACAAACAAACAAAAAAAAAAAAAAAAAAAAAAAAAAAAAAAAAAAAAGGAGGAAATTTCACTCAAGAGTCTAGGCTTCATCACCTAAAACACACGACCAAACCCCACATAATTAAGAGGGCTCTGGTCCTATGCTTCCTAAAACTGTTTAACGGGAATCTAACCAAGCCTTTAGGTCTCAATATCAGCTTGTACTGATAAAAGAATAAATTATTAAAACCAAAAACAAAAAAAATCAGAAAATCAGAGATGATGTACTCAAAAAGCAAAAACCACTAATCCTGAGCAGCTTCAAATGGTTCTGCGACTAAAGAGACATGTTTGAAGAGGGAAACATGCAAACAGCAGCAGGTGTGGTGGTACCTGCCTTTGATTCCAGGACTTGAGAGGCAGAGGGCAGGTGGTTCTCTATGAATCTGAGGCCAGCCTGGTCTATATGGTGAATTCTAGTCCAGCCAGGGCTACATAGTGAGACCCTGTCACAAAATATAAAATGAAATTTAAAATTACCTATAATTGACTTGTGACAAATACTGTAAGAATAATCAAGTATTTCAAGGAGATCCATCTAAGGGGTGAAATATATCTGCAATATAAATAAACAATATGTATCACATATAAATTTTAAAATACACTGGACAGTAATGGTACATGCCTTTAATCCCAGCACTTGGGAGGCAGAGGCAGACAGATCTCTAGGTTTGAGGCCAGCCTAGTCTACATAGTGAGTTCCAGGGCAGTCAGGCTACCCAGAGAAACCCTGTCTGGAAAAACAAAATATAAAAAAAAAAAATACAATTCAAATGTGAACAATCACAGTAATGGACAGAAGGGTAATAAGTGTACTATCCTTTCTACTTTTCTGTATGTTTAAAGGCTCATTTCAACAGTAGGAAAAAAGCAGAAACCTCAACATATACTTTCTCCACAAAACCCTCGAAAACAAACTTCCCTTCAACCCTTGGTCACCCCTGTGAAGGTCTTCTTAGCACAAAACACAAGCACACTATTTTACATTTTATTTTTGAACTCTTATTATTTCATATATTCAGTGCCTCTGGTTTTCCAGTGATCAAAATCTCTGTTAGGCACAGAAATCTCATTCATTCTTTCTTTTTTTGTGGGGAGGGGAGTGGTTGTTGGGATGGGTGTCTCACTATGAAGTTCTGGCTGGCCTAGAACTATGTAGATCAGGTTAGCCTTAAACCCACAGAAATATACCTGCCTGAGTACTGAGATTAAAGGTGTGCTCCAACATACTCTGCCTTTTCATTTCTTTACAGCTCACAGTAAGGTATTCTGCAATCAGAAGACTGCTAAGACCAACATTCTGGTGGAGATAACAGTACCTTAACAACTGAGTTACCTTTTCAACACAACAAAAAGCAGTCTACTTGCTTTCAGTCATAGCTACCAAAAGGATACCCAAAACATCACAATAGTTTTTAGAGTTTCACAGAAAGAAACCAGAATCTAAGTGAAAGGGAAGAAACTGGGATACAGGTCTTATAGGCCTTCCTAGTACTGTCTGTCATGGGTTTACTGTTACCCAGGCATATGACTTCACTCTAATGGCATTGTTCTTTGGTTGAGGCATACATAGTCTAATACCCTTGATGTACAGAACAGTGACAGAATTTGTCCACAACTCCTCAATGTAATGAAACTTATGAAGCTATATAATGAACTTAAAATCTCAGAGAAAACACTACAAAATCTCAGAGAAAATACTACTTAAGATTTATTTTTAAATTATTATAGTATTGGTTAGGAAATACGCAGATGAGCTGCTGGCAATAATATAAATTCATAAACCTCTGTGGAAAACAATTCAGCAATATTGCCAACATTAAAAATGCATACATCCATTGATCTGGCACATTCACAAAAAAAATTTAATCCAACAGACACAAGTACACATAAAAAGTGAATTATGGCTCTGGAAATCTACTGTTAAGAACTGGCTAAATGATGATCTATCATATACAATGCAACTCTTGCCACTTTTTAAAAAAGAGATACTACACACACTATATGAAATGATCACCCAGATAAATTGAGTGAAAAAGTAAAAAATGGATATAGTGTCCCATTTGTGAGAAACAGACAGACACCAAAGAATATGCAGGTGTATGTATTTGTAATGGATAGACTCTGGAAGGAGAGGACGCTGTCTTCGAGAAGGGTAATCTGGACAGGAGAATGACAGAAGGCTTTTCATTCTCACTGTATACCTTTGGAATATTTCTTTTCACATTTGTATTACCTTTTATTTTTTAAAAAAATTTCTGCAATAATATGAATTAATTAACAACTTATCTTAATCCTAAAAGCATTCCATTCTTTTGTACCATCAAAAATTTAAATAAAGCTTAAGTGAATTCAGAAATGAAATGTCTCCAGATAAGAACAAAGCATCCTAGATGAAGAAAGCCTACTTAGAAGAAAGACAAGCATTACCTCAATAGTTTCACTTCTAGATTCTCTAAGAGCCTGGTCCAAGTATAAAGGTAGGCCCCATTAAGTATTTCCAACTACCAAACTAGCCACTGTAATAACTCTTTTAAAAGGCGTAGTCACTAAAATCCCAAAAGGACACCAACTGCCCTGATCCTTAATGTGGAGTTGTCACAATAATTCATACTACGGGTGGTGGGGGAGCTGAGTGTCCAGCTCTTTCTCAACACAGGATGATAGATGCTTCCCTGATCCCAAACCCCTGAGCTGCCTCTATGTCATCCCTTGGCTCCAAGTGCAACATGGCAACCGGAAACAGCACAATAGACAGCTGAACCACATAAAGGTCAGTGTTAAATGAGGAAGTGAAAAGTGCAAATATACTTTAAAGCCCAAGAACACAAGGTCCTAAAGTCAACATGGCAACCAAAATAAGTCTTGTGAGAATACCAAAGAAAGAACACAAAGGAAAGGCAATTTCAAAATAAGGCTGATTTATGTCCCACTCCCAGGAGTCTAGCTGAGACATAAGGTTAGCTACACAAGCGGAAGACAGAAAATACCCTGCCTTTTCCATTCTCCCCACCTAACAACAATTTAGCTATTCATTTTAACACAATTCAGCAAAACTTTTGCTAGTAAAGAGTTCATCTTTGTGACCAGATGTGGTGGTGTACACATAACACTCAGGAGGCAGGGGTAAGCAGATCTAAGTCCAGTCTTGAGACCAGCCTGGTCTGCTGCACAGGAGTTCCAGGCCAGCCCTGGCTACAAGAGACCCTGATTGTCTCAAAACAAACACAAACCTCCCCGCCCCCACGGTAGAGGTAAGACAAAGTTTCTAAGAGTGACAATACAGCAGCAAACTACAGAACCAAGTATAGTCTGTCGACGGAAACTCCAAGTCTTAAGTCACTGAAATATTTCTGTAAAGTTCCTCAGTTTAATTTTTTTGGAATTTGACCATAATTGAAAAAATTATCATTCTCATTATTTAAAATTTATACTTCTGGAAAAAAAAAATTTATACTTCTGGACAAGCTGTTCAATTGTTTCAGATTGCCTCTGTTTTCATATGGTCACAGAACATCAGTAATGTACAGCTAAACTGAAACACTATGGAAGAACCCTGACCCCCACCCCCACCATCACACACACACACACACACACACACACACACACACACACCCCACACGCAAAGAGGGCTGAGGTGAAGCTCCTGATCTCTTCATTTCCGTTCTATTGTTGTTACCCCAAGTCTTAAAACTGTGTGTGGCACTTACCCCTTCCTTATCTACTTCTGTAAAGGCAACTCAGAATCTTACTATAAAGGAATTCCCACTTTAGTTTCTTTTTGATGGCCCTTAGTCCTTCTCAACAAGGCCATCAAAATCCCCTGCCAGAATAAACGAGTTAGACTTACTCCTAAATTTAGGGGAAGTTTGTAGTAAGGGTTCGGCATGACGACCGGAGTGGTGGAAAGGGAAGTAATTCTAGAACTAGAAGTTGCAGTCAGTTTCAAAAGGAGGGTCAGCGTGGGACACGTTGGCTCTAGGAGGCGTTGGTAGCCTGGGAGTCTCTAGGGCAACACCAGATGCGAATAGTGCTTTGTCCTTAAATCCCTCACATAATTTAAATTCTCCCTCTCGGGTCGGAGCGACAAGCTCACTATTGGGTGGCAAGTCTAGCACTGCCTGGGAAGAAGGCGGGCGCGTGGTCAAGGGGCTCTTTATCCCGCAGGTCCCTGCAACACGGCAGTGCGCATGCGTCCTGAGGCAGCGACCAGGCACCCCCGAGCTCCTTCACATTCGAGCATGCGCAGTTCTCCATCTCGCCGCAGGCGACAGCTCACTATTTGGCAAGGGGGATGGGGCTGGGATATGATGGTGAGGGAGGCTGGAGGCAGGGGGCGCGTTTGTGTTTCCTGAATGCTTGAGGTAGGAAGAACAGACGGCTGACTAGGCTCTGGCTTCCTCAGGCCGGGAAAGCAGGGTGTGGGAAACGGGGCAGAGAATAATACATGAGGGGAAGTGAGTGAGTGTGTGTGTGTGTATGGGGGGGTCAGTCACTTCTCAAGGAAACCCCCCGCACCCCAACAGGCCAACCCCCTTCCTCGACTCTTGACACACACACACTCACACTCACCTGAGAACGGCGGCGGCGACAGCAGCTGGTCCCTGTCCCCCTGCGCTCGCCTCATACTGCCCGCAACATCCGGGACCTGCGGGACCGCCGATACACAAACACACACTCTCGGAGCGCGCACACACACACAAACACACACATATACACACACACACACACATACACACACACACATACACACCGACACACACCGGCCCGGGCGTCCTGTCGTCAGCACGTCGACGCAGCGAGCGCGTACCCGCCGGGCCCCACCCCGCGCGGCCTCCTCCCCCGGCTTCCCGCCCCGCCCCGCCTCGCCCCGCCCCGCCCCGTCCGGCCCCGCCCCGCCCCGCTCCAGGCGCTCCAGCTCCTCCTCCTTTAAGACTCCGCCCACCTTCCCTGGTGCGCAAGCGTCGCGAGGCGGTGCCAGCGCCCGGGGATTTGCGCGGAAGGCGGGGCCAGAGTGGGAAAGAGGCGGGAACTCGGAGGGGGTCGCGTGCAGTGCGCGGAAGATCGCGCTGAGGTGCGAGGCCGGAATGGAGGCGGCTGAGAGCCAGGGGCCCGGTGGGTGGGGCAGCAACAGGCATTTCACAACTGAAACCTAGATGTGCAATTTGTGGATCACAGATGACTTCGCTCTTACTTTCTTTTTTAGCCCACTCTCAAGTGAAATGTTTTCTGGACTTCAATGATTGCTACAGACTTTTTTTTTTTTTTTAAGGACTTTTACATTTTGTTTTTGGAGAGAGGGTCTTACCATGTAACACCGGCTGGCCTGGCACTCTCTTTGTGGACAGGCTGGCCTCAAATTCATAGAGATAGGTGTCCAGCAAGTCTAGCCTGCAAATGCTAACATTTATTAAGTACTTTCCTCAGGTGCTGTGCGGCACACCTTTAACCCCAGCACTCAGGAGGCAGAGGCAGGAGCAGTTCTATGAGTTTAAGTCCAGCTTGGCCAGCCACAATTACATAGTGAGACCACGTCTCCAAAAACTAAATAAGTAAATTCCCATTTGAAAACAATAACCAAAGGACCATTCTTTCTGGGAAAGGTGGAAGGTGTGTGTGTGTGTGTGTGTGTGTGAGAGAGAGAGAGAGAGAGAGAGAGAGAGAGAGAGAGAGAGAGAGAGAGAGAGATCAGATGGAGAAGAGGATTCTGTGACAATTTATTGGCTAGGACACCTGGGTCCCCAGTTTGTCTCAGGTCTTAGCTCCCATGGGCTAGAAGTGATTCTGGAGCTGAGTAGAATTGTCTCAGAGCATCTTAACCCTGGAAGAAAACAATCATCTTTGTGTTGAAATAATGATGTCAGCAATGAGATATTTGTTGTTGTTACATTCTTTGCTTACCTTAAACGTTAAGAAAAAAAAAAAAAAAAAAAAAAAAAAAAAAAAAAAAAAACCTTATTGCTGAATCAAGCCCAAAAATCCAAAGCAGACTCTGTCTCTCTTGCATACACAAATCATGTGTTCACCTAACACTGGACACAAGAGAGCAGCCTAGTGACCAGTGGGTCATGAGGTAGGTAACAAGGTTGCAGCCTGTCAGGGGACTAGCTTCCTGGAGCCCTACTGCTTTCCAGGCCTGTGGGACAGTCTCCAGGCGACTGTGCTTCTGTCTCTTGCCACCTGGCACCATGTGGTTGGTGAGCCTGTTCAGCAGGAAGGCTGGCAGCCAGGCCACAGGGACTGGAAAGAACCCTTGACAACGCCAAGCTGCCTTCCACTTTCAAGTACAGAAGCAGACCCCGTAATTCCAGTTTTAAATGTCCTGGGATTCATGGGCAAAACACTCCAAAAACCCCAGGACTTATACAACCTGTGTTCCAGATAAAATTACTCTTGTTGGTTCTCTGCTTCGTTTTTGGTTTGGGGTCCTTGTTTTGAGACGATCTCACATTGGCCCGGCTAGCCCCAAACTCACTGTGCAACAGAAGCTGTCTTAGAACTCCTGATAGCTTCTGCCTCCACCTCCTGAGTGCTGGGATTGCAGGTGTGCTCCACTATGCCCAACCAAAAAAAAAAATTTTTTTTTAATTGGAGATCCTAGATTCTCTAATGATGTGGTTAGTGTGCTTGCCTCTGAAACAGAAAGAGCTCTTGTCACCCATTAGGCAGTTGCCTGAAACTTTCCAATTAGATTTATTTATCATCGTTATCAACAAACATTCATCTCTTTTGATGAAGCCAGAAAGGTGTTTAGTCCTTGTACAAATTCAAAATGTCCCAATGGTAACCCAATGACCAGTTACATGTCACTAGCCCTTGGTGACACAGGGGCTGTTTAATTACCTTGTCTCTTGACTTAGGATTTCACAGAAGAGCAGAGAGAGAGAGAGAGAGAGGAGAGGGGTGGGGGAGCGCCCCTTGGGAAAGGAGCATGGGGAAGAGGTGCAGAAAGGATGGACATCTGTTTCAGCTTCCTTACAACTGACACTAATCCTTACAGTTTAGCTAGACTCTGCCCAGGACACGGGAGAGGGCTTCTCCGGGTATGAAATCTGTGCCAGCAGCTTGTCCAGACTGGGCCTGGATCCCCAGTGATCTGGAGGTCCATAAGAGGTCCAATTGCCATCTGTGGCTCTGTGCAATGAGACTCCCATTTTACTGTGAGGACCACACCGCCCACCTGAGATATGATCCTAGCAGCCTCTGCACAAAGGGCTTTGATTTGGTGTGGAGCTGATTAAACGATTGTAGATGTCCTTGGAAGCACTATGTGCAAGAATTTTAAACAGCTTCTCCTTTTTAATATGCACTTCCTCTTCGGTTTTAATTATTTTGTTCCTACATTTTCCCTTTCAATTTACTAAAATCTAGAAATGTAATTAGAGCAGAGGCCAGGCTCAGAGAAGGCTGCCAGGATTTCTACAGCATGATTAAATATACCAGGCATCCCTTTAGTGTGGAACTGAAAAATAAGATTCTCATTATTATCTTTCCCTTATCCAGGAAAGAATCGGCACCACGTACCGATCCGGATTTATTGAAAATGCAGCACTAATTAAAAACTCACCCAGCCTCTTGACAAGGTTTGGGTAAAGAAAAAAAAAGTTCAGTTATTTAATTATTTCCTCCATTTAATGTTTTGTTGTTGTAACCACAACAAGCAAAGAAGCCCTCATTGCTCCTCTTTCCTCAAAATAAAATTTTTCTCTCCTCATGAGGGATTTAATGAGGCTTTTATCTATGCAGCAACAATCAAGCTTACAATGGCATCAATTCAATTCGCTGCTCCTTGTGATGCTAGGAAACATGCAGAACTCATTTTCTTAATCCAAAACACAAACGACAAAATGTTCATTGGCTGTCATGAGCCAGGTCTGGGCAAGGGATCTGTCCCCAAAGACCCTGAGATGTCTGGTGTTTATTTATTTTGCCAACAAGGATCTTGGGCTCCATTTCACAGTTCAATAAGAAAAGACACAGCTTTTCTCGGAACCATAGAGGAGGTAGAGGCGGGCCAGCCTGAAGAGGACAATAAACTCCCATCTTGTTTGTAAGCGCTTCAAGTCTCTCTTCTTTGCAGAGTTCTTCAGTTAGCTCAACGACAGCTTCGAATCCCCCAACCCGCCCCCATCTAACCCAAGGGCTGCCATGGCAGGGTCTTTTGTAGGAATGGATATACAGGAAGACTGGTAGGGAATACAATCCTGTGTATTGGCAATGTCCAAGCCTAAAGAAAAAGAGACAGGTGCCACATTCAAGGACACAAATGTAAGGTCATAAACAAGGAGAGAAAAAAAACCAAGAATGCATCGACAGTGTTGTTCTAGGGCCATGATGAGGTTAATAGAATATTGACAATGGAAACATGTTCATTGATTGATTAAATTTCACGGTGAAGCTGTGGCTTAATGAATGGGCAGGCTTCTTTTCTGCAGACTCAAGTTCAAACCCAGCACTAACCTTTACCATGATATAAATATAGATAAGGCTCGTGTTTTCCAACTTATCATATGATGATGAGGGTGAAGTGAGATAATATTTGAACACAACTCAGTCTCTGGCATGAGTAGACTTGCTTGTTTATGTGTGTGTCTTTGAACACGGACTTGGGGTAACTGCTTGTCTTCACACCACTCTCATCCATGTGCCGTGCTTACTGGGAGCCTCTCTGCCCTTTTGTGGAATTCTCCAGGCAGCACAGAATCAAGGAAACACACAGCACAGCCGTCCCAGCCGGAACACTGCCTCTTGCCAATTATGGCTCTTGAACAAACTCTTTGCCCTTGGAGCCAGTTTGCTTACATTTCAACCAGAGTACCTGGCTGCAAGCACCTGTGCCAACTCGGGTTCTAGCCACCCGAACTGGAATTTCCTGAAGAAGTACTAGAGCTCAAGAAAAAGACTTGGAAATTCGGCTGGGAACCAAGGGCTGGTGGAAGAAGACTCACCCTCAGAAAGTGTGGCGACAAGGTCCAGCTTCAGGACACTGCCACTAAGTGCCACCATCAGACTCAGCACTACTGCTATGTACGATGCAATCCTCCCTCCATCTTTGTGCTTTATGCTGCAAACCCCAAGCCCCAGGTAGCAGCATCCAGCTGACCAATCCTAGGACCCATGTGAGACCTTGACCACCAAGGGAGCAATGAGGTCTCACTGCTGTAGTGTGAGCAGAATGATGCTCAGGACTCCTGTCCCTAGACGATGTCTGTGGCAAGAGACTCACAGGAAGCAGGTCAAATGCTCTCCTTATCTCCTTGGTGAAATGGACCATGCACCGTGGGATAATACAAAGCATTGAATGATGTATTTGTTCAAAAGCTCTTGGCATATAAAAGGTATTCTGTCATTTTACTTCCCTCTTTAATAAAACAAAAGGCTGGGAATGATGTACTTACCTGAGTATTTGATTTCAATAAGCTTATAGATATTGAAATTCTGAATTTTTAACCTGAGAAAATGGCTGGGAAACATGCTGTCTCAAAGGTGGAGTGCCAAGCAAAGAAGCAGCAGACAGCAGGGATCTGCACATCTGAGTTCTAGAAGCAGCAGACAGAGAGCAGGGGATCTGCACATCTGAGTCCTAGTTTTTGGCTTGGACCAGTCACACAACGCCATCTGCATGTCATTAATTTTCAAGATGGGTCTAAACCCAGATGTAGCAGCTCATGCCTGTGATCCCAGCACTTGGGAGGTTGAGGCAGGAGGATCTACCATGATTTCAAGACTTACCTGGGCTATGTAAGTTCCAGGCCACTCTGGGCTACAGAGTAAGGCTCCGTTCCAAATAAATCAATAATAAATAATTAAATATTGTA